CCTTCGTTGTTGGTCCTAAACAAGCCAGTTCGTTCAACCAATCCCATCAAAACAGCTTTAAACTGATCATGTTCCGGAGAACTTAGAACACCCATTACATCTCTGTGACCATTTAATAAAGCCTCGTGAAGGAAAGTGTTTCCTTGCTTGTTCTTTTCTAGAACTTTATCCAGAATTTGATAAAAACTAACTGGTAGGGCAGCCAAAAGGTTTGATAAGGCCTCGTGAAATGAAGTATATGCGTTGGTTTTTTCTACGAATTCATTCAGAGGATGATAATATTGGAATGGAATGAATAAATTAAGCAACCTCTCAAGAGTTGAGATTTGCCCTGCTCTTGCAGCAACATGCATTGCTGTATCACCGTTGGCATTTTTGGCATCCAAAAGATCTGGTTTTTCATTAGCTACAATCTCCACCCAGTCATTTTTTCCATACATGGCTGCTATATGTAGCACTGTGTTGCCCATTGGGCTCTTTTGTTGTAAAAGCTCATTCTTACTCTTTTTCCAAGCGGTTGCTGTTGCTGGGGCATCATATTTCACTGAATCATACACAGCTTTTAACAAATCTAAATTATTTTCCTTTTCATGTGCTTGAACCTCACGTCGCTTAAGTCTTGTCAGATTCTGGATCCGATTCGGGGGTATCATATTTGCTTCTGGGCTTTTTATCCTTTGCTTTTCCTGCGTCCAAATCGCTAGCCATGTAAATTCATCAAATTCATTGCTAATATTTAAAGGGTGACTCTGCTGTCACTTTTAAGAGAGTTTTTTTTTTTTTTTCAAACAGATCTCTCAATAAACTTTTAATTGTAAACTGATTCATTGAATCATCTCTTATTATTCAATATCAGTCAGTATATGATATTATTGCAAAAAGAAAGACACAATTCTTATAATGAAAATATAAAATATAATTGGTTGTACGGTTCATTACATGTATTTAAAAAAGAGAAACATTAACCACACATTATTTGCATATTTTTTCAGTAAACATTTTATTTTTAGGTGAATATTACTAAATAGAAAGTAGGCTCAGGTTAGTGAGACCCATCTTAAACTTACCCAATGATAAAGAATGTATTAAAAATATTTACCAAAAAAAAAAGAATGTATTAAAAATATTTTATCAATGAGTGTGTTCTAGCTTTCCTATAAAAAAAAAAATGTGTGTCTTTTATCTCCAATAAAATCATATCTACTATTTTATCAAAAAAAAAAAAAAAAAAAAATCATATCTACTTATTCAAAAACATTAGATGATCCAAATTCATTATGAATAAAAAAATTAGTTAATCTAAACACGCTAAATTTAACCTAACTTGTCTTTAATTCTTTTGACATAAGTTTAATTTTAGAGGCTTGTTTGTGGTGAGTGGTGAGTCTTCCTTGTACTTGCACTAAAAAGCAAGTTTATCTTTTTTATGAGCAAAAATGCTTGTAGTTTTTGACATGCTTTCGTTAACACACTCTTAAGTTTCTGTTATTAAGTGAGATTCACAGAATAATAATAATAATAAAATTAAAAAACTATCTAAAAGATGCAATAAAGAGTAGATCATTGATAGCCTTACGAGTTATGGCAGAAACAGAGACGGAAAAGCCATTGAAGTAGTCTGAAATTTTGGGAGAGTACATCGAAATATAAAGCATAACATATCAGAGAAGAGAGTACCTTGAACGCTTTGAGATTCCACGGGGAGCTGTTTTCCACTTTGTGACTGAACCAATGGCTCAAGGACGACCTACCTTTCCCCTTTTACAGGAAACGAGGTCAATAAGTCAACACTGAAGGACTCTTACAAATTAATTAAAGAGTAAAGATCATCAAGAGATATGATGGGACTTATTTTAAATTTTTAGAAAAAAAATTTATTTTGATATCTTTAAAATTTAAAATAGATCTAATTATTTAAAATTGTGATCTTTGAAATTTAAAGAAGATCTCTATTAATTCTTCAAAATGATTAACATAGATCTATTTTGAATTTCAGATGATCACCGATTGACTATTTTTCTAAGAGATTAAACTGAGCCCTGTGATATTTGCTGGAATCCAAAAACTCTTAAATAAACCAAGTACCCATGTCTTTATTTTGGAGTAAAGTACATTTTGGGTTCTTAACAAATATCACGAGGCTTAATTTAATCCCTTAGAAAAAAAAGTCGACTTGTGATTCCTCTGAAATTCAGAATATATCCATGTTAATCCTTTTGAGAACTAACGTGGGTCTTCTTAAAATTTCAGAAGATCAAAATTTAACTAACTGGGTCTATTTTGAATCTCACAAAGACAAAAAAACTACTTCTTTTCCTAAGGGATTAAAATAAGTCCCGTAATATTTGTTGATGATCAAAAAAGTACTTTACTCCTTTATTTTGTATTTATGATTTGAATATGATGGACATATATATGGAAAAATATTTTCTCATGTTGCATGAGAATTCAATTCTCATGTTGTGATCCTTCGATTTGCGTGCAAAGCTTTTCTTTTATTTTTCTCTTTTAAATAAATGTGGGGCCCACCACTAGTTGAGTCATAACATGAGAACTCAATTCTCATGCAACATGAGAAAATCAAACTCATATATATATTGAAATTAATTATCAAGTTGTTGGACGTCCAGCTAGTGATCCTGATCGTTGATTCTCATTTATTTTTCGTATTTAATGTTTTTACTAACTCATGTATGGTTATGATTCTTAACTATACCTTCACTAAGTTGAAAAACGATATATATATATATATATATATATATATATATATATATATATATATATATATATATATATATATATGGTGGAACCAACAATGGCTAAACCGATGACACGAAAGCTTAACTCTTAAGCAATCAATCCAAGCCAAGTCCACACAAGCTCAATGTCACCAAATAGCACAATCACAGTCTGTTTATACAATAATTAATCATCAATAATCATTGCCTAAGGTTTCATTAAGTGATTAAGGCTTTTCAACTCATTTTAAGTGATTTAAGACTAAATCTGCAGGAGGTATTCGAATACTCCTCGATGAGTATTCGAATACTCCATGTCTCCAGAAAGTATCTAAATACTTTCACTTAAGTATTCGCATACCTCAAGGTATCCGAATACTTTTCCCCCAGTATCCCAATACCACCAGGTATCCGAATACAAATACCACAGTATTCGAATACTACTCAGTATTCGAATACTTACTCAACGGTATCCGAATACTTTTCTTCTCAGAAAAGTATCTTAATACTCCTCCAAGGAGTATTCGAATACTACACGAAAAGTATTCGAATACTTATAAGACAGAATGCAGAAATTCGTGCATTCTCTGTCCCATTTTAATGATTCAAACTCGATCTGGAGTCCAATAACTCCATCAACAGATGTTCATTTATGTATTTTAAGCATGGTTCATCAACTTTTAGCTTAAAAGATCAAAGTTTAACCCTTTAAGGACTCACACAAGCTCAAATCATGAAAATACAAAAGAGGTGATCATGGTATACCTCCTAGGCTCAAAACTCCGAAAATGAAACACACAAGGAGTCCTCTACACAGCACTATGGTTCTGTCACTTCAAGACTACGAAAATACACTTCAAGCTTGGACCTTTCTCCATCAAAATGGTTCCTTGAAGCACTATAGTGGATGAAACTAGTCCTTCCCACTCACAATCACCAAGTCAGCAACACTACCCCCCACAAACAGATGGTACAACTCAGAAATGAAGCATCACACACCCTCACAAGACCAACTACTTAGTGTTTACAAGGTTAAAGGTGAATAATCTCTCATAAAGTGGTGTCTTGAGGGATTTTATGAAGGAAAGACAATGCCTTTGTGAAGAAGAAGGGAGGCAGCAGTTCAGTACACAAAACCCACGCAGGAAATGGCTGAGTATCAGCCTAGGGTTGTGTGCAAGTGGCTATTTATAGTCCTCTTAAGTTTAATCCACCGTATTAGCACTAATAGCTACGCTTATCTTTTTAATCTCAAATTTGGAATTCTAGACCTAGCCATTTTTCTAGAATTTTTCATGTTTTTATATTATTTTTCGCAGCACTTTTTCGGTACTCGCTTTTACGAAGCCAATATCAGTTCTGACACCAGTTCTCATTATTTAGACTTGAAATTTATTATGCTCGTCCTATATATTATTCTAGTGACATATACATACTTTTCATAATTTTCCGGGATACTTCATCGGTATGCATTTATACCGGGAGGCAGAACAGGTATCTGCACTTTTTGTCAGAAAAGCGACTTTCAACATTATTAATCACTTACCATAATTATTTAAGCCTTCTCATAATTATTAGGGTCAATTATGAAATTATCTCATTAATCTCATAATTAATTGATTATATTCCTAATTTAACGGTGCGAGTTCTTACACTTAACATGGAGCCAATGGCATCAGAAAGATAACTTGGTGAATTTCAGTGGTGAAAAGTTTCAAGTTTTTCATATGTGTACTCAGTTTCAAGTAAATTCATGGTTGTGACTGTTTTGTTGAATCCTCTATTTCTAAGGTAGTTTATCTGACCATATCTCGAGCTATAGAACTCTATTCTCAATTATCTATAATTTGCTATAAATCTTAAGATGTGTATTAGATTATATAAAAATATCATAACTTCGAGTTGTGAACCATTCCCATTTTTTTTTATAGAAACCGGGTTATTTTTTAGGGTGAAAATGAGCATGTTTTTGGAGATATTGATCAGTTAGCTTTGAAAAGAGAAATTAAATGCAACAAACAAACATTGAAGTACTAAGCATATATGAGCAAAGAAAGAGAAAAATGAAGAGTAACAAGAGATTTTCTTCATATTCTAGCAAATGGAAAACCCCCTTAATCCCAAAGAAAAACATTAACCTAGATATCAAAGAAATTTCTTCTGAAATTGAGACAAAAACTCCCTTGAAACACGAACATCCAAATATGATAAGGTACATGTAAAATGAAGAAAACAATATGTAACGTAGATCCAAGAACTTACACAAGTCAAACAGCTCAAAATCAAGCACCAAAGTTCAAGCAAAAACTACTGAAACAGACATATATATATTACAATCCAAAATAAATCTAATGATAAATGGTGACAGCTCTCCATCAACGGTGTGTTTATTACAATCCAAAATAAATATAAGCACAAGTATTGAGAACTCTCCAATGGTGCCTCTCTCCAAGACTTAGAGTTGAGATCTAGAGGAGCATCTCAATTTTGCGCGTTTTTCCACCTAAAATAAAGTAGTGAATAATTCGAGTTACTACTCAATGAGCAATGTTGTCAAAATCAAATTTCTACGTAGAAACGAAAATTGAAGAAATGACACCTTAAGATCAAAATAAAATTATATATATATATATAAATGCAGGATCTTTTGACACCGGTGTCAAATTTGAAATTTGACACCTCATCTGAGAGCCGTTAGATCAAAAAAAATCAACGACTGTGATTTGTGAGCATGTGACACCATTGATCTTTTTTGAACTAACGACTCTCAGAAAAGGTGTCAAATTTCAAATTTTACACCGGTGTCAAAGGATCCTACCTATATATATATATATATATATATATATATATATATATATGGGGTAGGATATTCTTACACCGGTGTAAGAGTTAGAAGTCTTACACTCAATCTTGACCATTGATCCACTTGTATCCAATGGCTCACATTACTAAAAAATTTGAGTCCTTAGATATAAATGGGATTAACGGATAAGATTAAGAGTGTAACTTACACTGGTTTAAAATGATCCTGATCCTGATCCTATATATATATATATATATATATATATAGAGCTTATCATTCAAAATGATTTAAAATGATTTCTGCTTGAGATAACTTTATCTTCGGCTACTAAATCATAACCGTACAAAGATGAAACAATGGAGATAAAAGAAGAGAGAGAAAAAGAAAATCATAACCATTCAAAGGTGAATCAATTAATATAAGAAAATAAATAAATAAAACAACGTAGTTTTGAGATGGCCAGAGATAATATATCTCAAGCAGTTTGAGAAATATTTTTCTCATATATATATATATATAGGAAAAAAATATTTCTACAGTCACTTTAGATAAGGTTATATACAGCTATCCCAAAACTATGTCATTTTGATTAATAAAGGGTATTTCTGTAATTTTAGGTGAATTAACGAAGGGTGTTTCAGTAAAATGTAAATAATAAAAGAATAAACAAAATTACATAAACATCATTCATTAATTTACCTAAAATTACATAAACACCCTTCATTAATCAAAACGACGTAGTTTTTTGGTAGCTGTAGATAACTTTATCTAAAGTGGCTGTAGAAATATTTACCTCATATATATATATATATATATATATATATATATATAATCACATAAATCACTGCTCAAAATTCATTGAACGACCTCTTATTTAAAAGATATAAAATCACATAACTATTTAAGACATAAGCCCAAAAACACAAAAAAAGTTCAACAGCTCCTGCAACCAAGTTCGAAAATAGAAAATGAGCAAAATACCATAGTCACATACTTATCATTACTGTTGTTGCTGATTAGAAGGGTTTGGTGGCCGCATCACTAGCATCATAGGGGGTAGGAGAGAGGCGGCACCAAGTACGATGATGGACGCGAAATCACTGAAAAGTTTTATTTGAGTTAGGTAACTAAAAGAAGATACTCGAAGTCGATGCACATTTTGATTTAGGGAAAATAAGAAATAATTTTTCTTTAAAATTAAATTTGGGTCATGGGTTCAAAGTTAACCCGATCCAATTTTTGGGTTGAAGTGAAAAAAACTTGTGTTTCAACTGTTTTTATGCCGCATTTTTACCCATTTTTAGTTAAAAGCATTTTTATTTGTATTTTGAGATGTTTTTACATTAAGTTTGTAACGTTTCTATGTTTTTACACTCATTTTTAACAACAACGGTTAGCAGACAATAAAAAAATACAACAAAGGATACACGATAATATAATGTAGAAACTGTAATTGTCAAATCCTGGGTTACACCAAATATAAAGTATATAAAGTAGAAATTCATAATTTACTCAAATAATAATAATATTTAAGTTGGATATAATCAAATAGAATTATAACAAGTTCCCCAACTAAAAGTACAATAATAATAATTATAGTCTTCTCGCCTGGAAAAAATAATAACATGTTTATCGCTTAAAGTCATGATACACTAAGTACTGTAACATTCATTTCTGTTAACTACCGTATTCTAAACAAACTTTTTCCCTAAAACAAATATAAAACTTTCAATAACTAGTTACGATATCATTATGAATCCTAAAATCATAAAACTTAAACATTGGATTAGATCTGTGATATATTTATATTACTATGTCCATTAAATGAAATAAATAAATAATAAAATAAATCAAAGTAATTTATTTAAATGAATTTATTTATAGAAATATCTTTAAAAAATTATTTGAACACTATTCTAAAACAAATTAAGGAATATAAATGATAGTAATTATAATAAAGTTCAACAAAAATAATTTTAAACTTGTTATAATCTGCATGATTTATTCACAAATATCCTGATCGGACATTAATACGATAAATTAGGGAATCTAGAATAGGATAAAACTAGCTTGATAGAAATTTGACTGCAAGTTTTTCAAATTCTTCCATTTCCCTCTTTTCAACTCCCCCTTTTCACTCTCTATTACGTTCCCAATCCCCCTGTATATTTAATTTGTTGGAAATCGACAATCACACACAAATTGAAAAATAAAAGAGAAAGAGAAGAGAGAATTTTGACACGGCGATTTATCTTGGTTCACCCAATTTAGGCTACGTCTAGCTTGTCAGCACTATATTCATCTCATCGTCACTCATTACAAGTCACTCGGTTTATAAGGAGAATATAAATAGGATTAAAACAAATCCTAACAACAACTATTCATGGGCCCAAGCTCAAACTACTAAAAAAATAGAGAAAAATTACAATAAATCAGAGGCCTAGAACAGTACCTAGCCTCTACGGGCCTGGGGGTGCTGCCCTGTGAACCCTACCGTGGCGACTTCCCCGGACCTCTGTTGCCTTTCTGCTGACCCCGCCAATAAGGGCCCTCATCAGCATGCGAAGTATGAGTCATACCCAACATTCTCCCACTTAGTGAATGTTTCGCATGTTTCTTCAATCACAATGCAGTTGTACACCATTCAAACTTCTCTGAAGTCACTGCCTTTGTCAAAAAATCAGCACCGTTGACCTTTGTATCAACCTTCTCCAGCAATACAACCTTATCTTCAATCTTCTCTCTGATGAAATGGTACTGTATGCCAATATGTTTGGTCCTCACATGGAAACCTGAATTCTTAGCCAAGAAAATAGTGCTTTGATTGTCACACCCAACGATCATCTCTATTTGTGCTAAGTCAAGCTCTTTGCACAACCTCCGCAACCAAATAGCTTCCTTGACAGCATGTGTCAAGGCCATGTACTCAGCCTCTGTAGTAGATAAAGCGACAGTGCTTTGCCTCTTACCCATCCAACTGATAGCTTCACCGAATGAGGAAACAACATATCCGCATGTAGACTTTCTACTATCAATGTCACCTCCCCAATCAGCATCCACAAAGTATCTCAGCTCTAATAATGCCTGTCCTTTTGAGCCCTTCACGCCTTCATAGCATAACCCGAGGTCAGACGTACTGCGAAGATAACGGAACACATGCTTTACTATCGTCCAATGCTCATTTCCTGACTTGGACATATACCTGCTCAATACTCCCACTGCTTGAGCAATATCATGCTGAGTACAAATCATGGCATACATTAGACTCCCAACTGCACTAGCATAAGTAACTGATGTCATCTTTTCTTCTTCTTCTTCAGTCTTGGGACACTAGTCAACCGATAACTTAGAACCAGTAGACATGTGAGTCAACACAGGCTTGCAGGAAGTCATCTTAAATTTCTTCAGAACATCCTCTATATACTTCCGTTGACTTAACCATAATCTTCCTTTGTCACACTCCCTCTTAATCTGCATACCCAATATCATATTTGCAGCGTCTAGATATTTCATTTCAAACTACTTCGCCAGCAGTCCTTTGACAATACTGATCATTTTCAAACTGTTTCCAACGAGTAACATGTCGTCAACATACGAAGTTAGAATAACAAAGTCACCTTCTAACCTTTTCACATAAACACAATGATCAACATCACAATGGTCAAAGCCAAGCTTTGTTATATAAGTGTCGAACTTCGTGCACCACATCTTGGGGGACTGTTTCAGGCCATACAGAGATTTACTCAGCTTGCAGACTAGCTCCTCTTTGCCTCTTACGGTGAATCCCTCTGGTTGCTTTATGAAAATAACCTCCTCCAAATCACCATGAAGGAAAGCCATCTTCACATCAACCTGCTCCACCTCTAGGTCATATGCAGCTGCTACAGACAAAACCAGCCTTATGAAATTTAACTTTGCAACAGGTGAAAATACCTCACCATAATCAATCCCTTCTATCCGTGAATATCCCTTTGCAACCAACTGAGCCTTGTAGTGTTTAATCTCCAATTGGTATAAACCTTTTCTTGAACACCCACTTGCGGCCAATCGCCTTTCGGTCTGCAGGTAGTTTCTCCAAACTCCAAGTTTGATTTTTCATCAGAGACTTCATCTCATCTTTCATTGCTTCCTCCCACTGTTTGGCATCCTCCGAGTTCCTAACTTTTCTTATAATGATTGGATCATCACCTGTAATATTCAGGGAATAACCATTATCACTAGCACAGAAATATAGTTTTCAGATTTATACCTCTCAAATGATCTTTTTTCCCTTGTGGACCTTCTCAACATTGGTGCTTCAACTTCAGCCTCAGTTTCAGAATCTTCATTTTCAACCCCATTATGTTCAGCAGCTTCAAAATTTGAACTTTTCACTCCAACTTGTGAGTTTAATGCATCCTCTTTCAAACCTACATCTCCACTGTCTGTAACTCTTCAGAAGCTTTCCAAAAAATCTCATTCGGGTTAGATTCCCTGAACACAACGTTTCTGCTATAAGTTACACTTCGAGTGTCAGGATTTCAAAACTTGTACCCTTTGTCTCCATCCTTGTACCAATAAAGATACACTTCTCATATTTACTATCAAGCGTGCTTCTTCTCTCCTTGGGTACATGCAGATATGCTTAACAGCCGAACACTCTGACATCAGATACATTTGGCTTTTTCCAAAATAGTCCTTCATACAGAGTCTTCTCCTTCATGGTCGATGTAGGAGATGTGTTCTTCAGATGATAAGTAGTAGCCACTGCTTCCGCCCAAAACTCAGCTGCCAAGCCTGCCCCGCTCAGCACCGCTCAGCATACTTCGTGCTTTCTCCATGAGATATCGATTCAATCTCTTTGCCACCCTATTCTGTTGAGGTGAGTAGGGTGTATTCTTTTGCCTTGCAATCCCATTGCTAGCATAAAATTGATCAAATTTTGTTGTACAAAACTCCTCTCCATTATCAGTTCTTAACACTTTGATTCTTTGGTCAAACTAATTTTCCAGCAAAGCCTTGAACTCGCGAAATTTATCGAACAATTCATCCTTGCTGCACAAGAAATATAACCACACGTATGGAAAATCATCAGTAAAAGAAACATAATACCTTATTTTTCCATGTGATGCAATAGGTGTGGGGCCAAACACATTGTTGTGTATCAGGTCCAGAATCCCCTCAGCTTTTCCTCCTAAGGAATCAAAAGATACCTGATTTTATTTCCCTTGTAGGCAATGCTCATAAAATTCGAACCCTATAGAGCAGCTCAAAATTCCATTCACCAGTTTCTTTGATGCAGAATTTCCAGACTTTTTCCTCCAATATGTGCCAGCCTCTTATGCCATAACATAGCAGTGTCCTCAGTCTTTTTCGTTATGTAGCTTTAACAACTGAACATTGTGGATGGAAGAGGGGCGCGTGAGCACGTGAGGGGGAAAAATTAGCTCTGCTAGGGTTTGGCTCGAATTTTCTTCGTTTCTAGGTGACGATGGTGGAGAAAGGGGGAAGACCCCCTAATTCTGAGAGGGATGGATCCAGAGGTAGGGAATCTAAGAAGGCGAAAGGTGAGGGAATGGCAAATCTGGTCATGCAGGACTCTTCTCCGATAGTATGCGCTACGGAGGAAGAGGAAATGGCGATGGAACTTAACCCAGAGGTTACTGAGGGTACGGGGAAGGAAGAAGAGCTGCTCAAGGAACCTAGGAGGTTAGTTTCTTATAAGGACCAGCTTCTTTGGGTTAATAGTGTGTGGGACGATTATCAGGGCGATGAAGAGGATGATTGGTTGGCGCAGAGCAGGAGGGACGAGTTGGATGAAGAGGAGGCCATTAGAGCGTATGATCAGACGCAAGAGGATGACCCCCTGAACCCTTATTATCAATTCGACATACTGGAGAAATTAAAACAATGTAAGAGATTGAAGATGGCTTTGATCGTGAAGCTGATGGGGAAGAGGTTGTGAGCTAAATTTCTGTGGAATAGGTTACACAAGCTGTGGAATCTCGAAGGGGAATACAGAGTGCTGGACCTAGAAAACGATCATTATCTGGTGGAATTTGAAAAATCACAAGACTACCTGTTTGTTCAACAACAGGGGCCTTGGATTGTAGCGGATCAT